CAGTATTGGTTCCCCAGGTGTCTGGGGCCCCAAGACTAGGAGTGGCGCAGGGCTCAAACTAGGAGTATAGAAAGGCGAGGGGGGGGATGGAAGTGTGAATGTGGCTTAGGGAGTCCCAGCGTGTAGAGCTGCGCTGTAGACTTACCCCAATAGGCCTGAGGATAGTAGTGCAGGCTAGGAGAGTTAGCCGGTGGTGCAGGCCCAGGGAAGCAGAGCGAGGTGAGGGCAGGGCCAGGACCAGAAGTGGTGCTCCTGGAGCCCAAGAAAGGGACTGGGTTGCTCTGGGTGAGAAGGGTCAGGAAGCAGTATTGGTTCCCCAGGTGTCTGGGGCCCCAAGACTAGGAGTGGCGCAGGGCTCAAACTAGGAGTATAGAACGGCGAGGGGGGGGATGGAAGGGTGAATGTGGCTTAGGGAGTTCCAGCGCGGAGAGCTGCGCTGTAGACTTACCCCAAGAGGCCTGAGGATAGTCCAATTATGTGTTTTTTAAAGAACATACCTCTTGGCCGTGGCGGTGCACTCTGGAGGCAGAGTCAGAGATTGCTATGAGATCAAGGCCAGCCTGATCTGGATTACATAGAAAGTTCCAGGCCAGTTGGGACTACATAGTAAAAGTCTGTCTCAAAAACAAAAACAGAACAAACCAAAAAATAATTAAAAAATTTTTAAAAAGTACATCCCAGAATTTTTTTTTTTAAAAAACTGAGTAGAATTTGAATGTGTAGGAAAAGATTATGAAAGATATTAGATGCTAAAAATATAAAATGAGCACGGATCAGCCATGTATAATAGCAAGTTTGACTACAAATTAATTTTTTCATTTGTAGGAACATACTAGTAGATGTTGCATCTTGCTATTGTCAGGAAAATGTACATTAATATAAAGAAATTAAAAAATATTATTTTTAATTTATGTGCATGCATGTATTGCCTGCATGTTGTTCAGTGTCCATGGAGGAGAGAAGAGGCTGTCGGATCCCCTGGAACTGGAGTTACGGACAGTTGTTAGCTGCCACCTGGGTGCTGGGATACGAACCTAGGTCTTCTGCAAGAACAGCCAGTGTTCTTAACCACTGAGCCATCTCTCCAGCCCCAGGAAATATTTTTGAATATTAGATTTGCTTAAGTTTTTGAAAACTTACAAAATCACCAGACATCATGGCCTAGACCTTCATCCCATACTCAGGAGGCAAAAGCAGAGGCAGAGCCAGGTGGATCTCTGTGATCAAGGCCAACTTGGTCTACATAGGGAGCTCCTATGGGGAGCTACTACAGGGATTTCCTCTCTCAAAAAAACCAAAACGAAATCAAAACAAAACAGAAAAAACCTTACAAAATAATTACTGAGGGAACTGTAGGAAAATAATTATTTTCATATAAAACTGGTGAAAATAAAATTTAATAGGGCCTTTTTGTTTAACTGTATGATATAAAATACCCAGTGATTGAGCTAGTGACTCTTCTGAAAAGTTTCTACATTAAACATATATTTTCATACATGAATGCACATATTTATGCATAGAAATAGGCATTATGGTACTGCATATAATGATGAGACTCCAACTGGTCAATGTTTATCAGTAAAAAAAAAATGATTAAATAGAAGTTTACCCTGCATACAGAATTACATGCTTTCCAAAGAATGAGACTTCTTTGCTGAAATAAGTGCTTGCTATACATGTCAGTAAAAGTCAACTAGGTTGTTGACACATTTAGCAATACTCTACTTATACAATTAATAATAATCCACAGTCACACATAAAGAAAAATCTAGAGGCAATGATGGCCATCAGATACAGACGAGTAAATGGCCTTGTCAGGTGGCAGTGATGAGACGCCCTTTTTATAACTCTACTGCTGGAAAACTTTATTGTAAGTGTAACTATTATGTTGGAATTTAAAAATAAGGATAAAAAGATGGACTCAGTATGGTGAAACGGAAATGGTGGGAACCAAAGAGAAATTGCACAGACTTCAAAACAAACCTATCCAAAGATGATGCTGGCCCTCACGAAGACCAGATGATAGGAAAGAGGCTTCTGTAAATCATGTGGATGATTTCATGAATGCAATGTGATGTCTGAATGATTATAACAACTTAATTCTTTTCTTTCTTCGTGTTTTAAGAACCCAGACCCTGTGTTTGCACTGAGCTAAATTTCAAGTCCAAATGACTTCTATAACATTTTCTCATCAAGAGATGGGCATGTAGTACATAAAATATGCACGCACACTAATGTCTGACAATTTTTGAGAAAATGTGAATAACTGAAAATTATTAAAAATAACTTAAAATACCATTTCTTATACACTGGAAGGAAATCAATACAAATAATTTTTAACTGACAAATTACAAGTACTCTAATGCAGTCACTTGTAGCAAGCCTGGTAACAAGACATCACAAATGTCATTAAAGCTAATACTTACAGTATACATGGGTAACTGCTTCTTTGACATTTGGGGACTTGGTCTGGATGACATAGTCATAATAATTCTTGAATATAAACTTTGGAAATTATATGTCCATGCAATTTCTATTTAAATTTAAAATTAAATTATTGTACTTACTTTCAACGATTACTTGTCTGTCTTCCCAATTATCTCTAATAAGCTGTATATTTCCAAAGTGTGCATCACTGTAAAAGATCCGGTTGGTATCTTTTCTTCTTTGATTATAGTCAAAGGCCAAAGCTATGATATTTTTGAAGTAATGTGGATTCTCAAAGGGCCTTACTGGGGAATTTAAGTTGGTTTCATCAGAAAGATGTATACTTTTTAATATTGTTCTTCCTGAATATAGCAAATAGCCTTCGTGCCTTAAGCAAGTAACTCCATCCTCTGCCAAGTATCCGTGGGCACAAGCACAGGTTCTCTGGGAATTTCCTCGATAAAGACAGAGCTGCTTACAGCCACCATTGTCCTCAGCACAGACATTGGTCCCTGAGAAAGAGAAAACAAAAACATGTGTTCCTATTATTTGATGGTCAAGAAAGTTTATTTATAGAAATATTAGAACTTAACGCTAAGTATTCTTTTTATTTTTAAAATGTTAAAACATACTGAATTTATAAATCACAGAGATTGATAATCTTTGATTTCTATTTGAAGGATCACATTATTCTCTTTCCTTCACAACCAAATACAAGTATTAGGATTTTCTGTATGGAAATTACATCAAGGAAATCTCCACCGTGTGGTATCTAACAAGATCTGCAGAATGACAAAATCAGTTGACATGCCAAGGTGGATCAGGCAAATTACAGGGGATCACACCTCTAAAGAGTTACAGTAACAGTTACAGTTACAATCAGTGGACACTGAGGGAGGGAGAAAGGCTTCCAGGTCATCTAATCCAACTGGACAGCGAGAGAGAGAGAGAGAGAGAGAGAGAGAGAGAGAGAGAGAGAGAGGATAATAAAGAAGACAAGAAACTGTAAGGGAGGACAAGGACGTGGGATGAGTTGGAGGGGGTCTAGTAGAGGTGGGAATAATGCAAATACTCAAATATGAAATTCTAAAACTATATATTTTCCCTCACTAGGGTTTTTATTTAGCTGGTAAAGTACTTGAATGGCAAGTACAAAGCCCTGGGTTTTGGACCCAGCACTAATACAAAAACAATCACATCTTTCCCTTAATAAACAAGTGCTGTTGAAAACAACAGATTTTACATTTCACAGTCTTTGGCACATGTAACTGATTCACTCAAAATATACTTCAGTCACTGAAAAAGAACCTGCTGTGTCCAGCCCTGTGTCCAGCTGAGAGTATTCAACGTATGGCTCCCATATCCCTCATCTCCCTATATACAGGGGGATTTCACTCCACGTTTGAGTGCAGATGAGGTATGCGCCCTTCCTGAGGCTGATTCTGCTCATTAATTCATTATTAACATCTCCAAAATGATTATACCAAATTTCTCTTGTAAAGAAAATTAATTATAATTTGCCTGATTAAAAGTTATAAAAATACCAAAACCCTCACCAAGTAGTGATTCAGAATTAATATCTCTTACACAACTTTTTCTAGAGCCATAATCACTTTTTATATTAAAAGATAACCCCAAACAAAAATCTCACCAGCAAAATATACTAGTTCTGCTTTGTACTTGTCAAACATAAAATCGAGTTTTTTAAATATTTCTTAAAACTAATTCTGAAGACATGTCTTATATGTCACATGTCCTTACCTATGTGCAGTCTAAGGGAAATGTATATGAGCTACTGTTCATTTCCTTGGGATACTATTTGATTTTTGTAGAACATATAATTAAAACTTAATTTCAGATTTTGGACATGATAAGAATCTTTAATTTTTAAAAATGAAAAGAAGTAAATAGACAATGAATTTAACCAAATATTTCTTTAAGTCTGCTGACCTTTCTCTCTTACTCTGGTAAATATTTTGATCTCCTTCAAGTTGACTCCAAGGCCACTTCTCATGGTGACAGCTTCTGTTGCATCGTTCTTGTGGCCTCTTCTCACCGAGCCATTAGCGTGTGCTCTGCCAAAACATTGAACATAGAGGATCAACAATCTTCAACTAATTAAAATCAAACCAGGTAAAACTGAAGAAGGGCGAGACCGTGGAACAGCCAGAGCCTCACCAGCCTTACCTATGAAATTACATGGCTTTATGAGATCCTTTCTTTGACCCTGCTAAGGCACCGCTAATCCTACAAGGGCAAAGCAAGCAACTGGCACTGAAATAACATTGTGAGACTCAAACACTTACGAAAGAAATAAATTACCTGTCAGACCAGTAGATGTAAGCCCCGAAGACCGCAACTGAAAACAGATCCACATTGCTCCCTGACAGCACCATCTCGCGATTCCCTCCAGTCTCAAGGTCGATTCTCTCTATCTTGTCTGTGCGGGCATCACACCAGTACAACTTATTTTCCTAAATATCGATTGGGAAGCAACAGTATAAACTCTTTTTATTAGTTATTAAGAAAATAAGGGAGCATTAAAATAAACTAATTCAATCTGGAAGTGAACACACTTTAGATACTTAAAAGCAATCCAACAGACCTCATAGTCAATGGAGATGCCATTGGGCCACGCTATTCCCATGCTCACAAGCACGACCTTCTCAGAACCATCAAGACGAGCCTTCCCAATGCAGGGCATCTGTCCCCACTCAGTCCAGAACAAGAAGCTGGAATTAAATTGGTCATTTATAGCAATATGCACATGACTGAACATCAAATAAAACAGCAAGATGTCATCTAAATTTTTAAGTGTAATGTGCAAAACAAATTAATAAACTTCACAACTTAATATCTGTTTACAGTTTTAATACAGTAATTCTATTGTAAAGATTGTTCAACTATAAAGAAAACACAAGAATGGGTTCTGAGCAAGAATGGTAGAAAAACTGTCTGTATGCTCTTCCTGTCTCCAACCTGTTGCCCTACTTTGTTCCAATTTTCACAACTCAGATATTTCCTTCAGATGGACTTCTGTACCCTTCTTGATATTTACTACACTCAATTTCCTACATTATAAGAGCAAAGCAGATGGACTAGAGCAGCAAAGTCACACTTTCTCTTCTTTAACTGCTTAATCATTTTCAACTTTTTACCTCTACTAAATTGTAAACTCAGGAAAGTCAGTGATTTTTGTCCTCTGTTTTATTCAGTATAATACACATAGCACCCAATAATTAAATGTTTTAAAACATAGCTGCATTTAAATGATGCACATAATATAGACACGGATGCACTGTAATTCAATTTTATCTTCTTAGAACCCTAAACATAACAATTCTAATTTGAATTTGGAGACTTAGCTTGTGTTGCCATCCTTAAACATGTTTCACATTTATAGAAAAAGATATTTTCATTTAAGTAACTTCAAAAATGTGATGTGGAAGGGCGTTCAATACAAAAAGAAAAGCTAGAGTGTGTAGAAATAAAATGTATTAAAAAAGGGAATGTGGAAAATGATGGTCTAGAATCTATTCATTTTTCACTCGTTCATTCTACAAATTCATCATTTATATGAAAACACGGAATTTCATGTTTTTAGGTAAATACAATTCTTCCTAATTCAAAATTACATACACTGAAGTTTTCAATCTATCAGAAAATATCAAAAGCCAAAGCTTAGAGAAGTATAGTGACCATGCATTCATTAAGGCAATAGTGAGTGTGTATTTCTGTGCATCACCGAAAATTTGTCTAGAGTTTGCATGACCCAAGAAAAGACACTGAGGCTTCATGTTGAAGTTTAAAGGAGACCTACATTTATAATTTACATATGTATGATAGTTATTCATTAACCACAAAGGCTTAAACTACATAAATCATATGTATTGTACACATATTATTTGGATTTATTTTAATAGTTGATTTTTTTTCTGAAAAGCTGTATAAAATAAATGCTTTGGAATATGACAAGCTGATAAAAAGGAGGCATGGATAGAATACCAAGTCTGTCAATCCTTAAGACACAATCATTGATGTTTAAAAGTCCTATGATTTATAGGATCCTAATTTCTGATTTACAAAGGAAAAACTTTGTCAGAAATCCAACTAATAGTTTGTTGCTATGAACTTGCTAAAAAGGCATGACAAAATCTTTCTTTAAAGTCAACATTTTTAAATGATACTCCGATTCAATTAAAACCATTAATTAGTAGAAACATTTATGACTTCATTTATCTTTTTAGGTACAAATGTCATTGTCAAAAGACAAGAGCTGCTAGGCTCCAAAGGAGGTACTTGAAGAGCCAGGACAGACATGTAACTATTCAACCTCATTCTATTTATTTATTTAATTTATTTATTCTTTTGTCCTTTTGTATGATTGTATTGTATTGCTTGCATGTATGTAAGTGCAACCACATCATGCAATGCCCGCAGAAGTCAGAGGAGGGCATCAGGTTCCTTGGAACTGGAGCTAGGACAGTTGTTAGCCATCATGTGGGTACTGCGAATCAAGCCCGGTCCTCTGCAAGAGCAGTCAGTGCTCTTAACCACTGAACCATCTCTCCACCCCCTCAACCACATTCTTATCATCTGCCTCTAACATATTCAAGTACAGAAAGAAATACACATAAAAAACCTTTTCCTTGATGATAATCTGCTTTTAAATGCACTAAGTGAGAAAGGAAGCTATTATTCTGAATGAGTAGTGTAATGTACATTGTCTTGGTAAGTAGCCAAATGCTGTGATACTTGTTGAGAGTGGACTTGGGCAAGAAAGCTCTTCCCTGTCACTTCCAACACTCCCTGACCTGAGGAAGACTGGACCCCTAATTCTGTAACAAGGAGAAAGGAAAACAGCAAGCATCAAGGGTGGTAAAAATACTGTTTCCTTGAGTTCAGCTGGAAGGTAAGCTATTTTCAATCAGGGAAGCTATGGTTGTCCTATAATATAAACATGCTTACACTGAGAAAGGAACACTGTAAGTTCATCTCTGTAGACGCTGGGAAGTTCCTCTGCTTGCAAATGTATTAAATGGGAACTGCAGGGAGATGCTCCAGGTTCCTGTCAGTGTAGTTGGTGGTGTCATCTCCTTGTTCTCTTACTTGAAACCCTCACTGGAGAGGCCTCTACTGCAACCTGGATGCTAGGTCGAACTGCAACTGGCTTTCCCAGCAGCTTCTGCTGAATGTCTGTAAATCACTAATGTGATGGTGTTTCATTTTGCTTTCACTCTCAATTGAACTAACCCACTCATTTCTTTCAAATGTTATGAACACCCGATTTGAACGTTTTCTGTGGTCTGCTGATTCTCCCTGTCTGCTACTCACTATTCTTTTACTTTTGCTTGCTATATAATTAATAAACTCGTTCACTACCAAAAGCGTGACTATTGTAGATCATTCTCTGGATCACATGGAACAAGTAGTCTAAGTAAGCCATTTCACATCTTTAGCCCTAATTCTCACAGCTACGGAAATGATGGCTCAGAAAATGAACATTCCCCATGCATATAATCCTCACACTACACGCCAAGAAATAGATTCTGTGATGAGTGTCAACAAAATTTATGAATAAATGTATTCTAAAGGAATTTTCTCTATGTGTAATAAGGATCTGATATAATACCATAGCATATAAAGCTGATTATAACTGCATGGGAATTATTATTATGGTTAGATAAAATTAATGACATTAAAAGACCTTTAAACCTAACAAAATAAAGTAATATCTTATAAATGGAAGGCAAATATTAATTTATTTGCCTTTAATCTAAATTGAAAAGTAGAGGACTGAAAAGATATCACCTCAGCACCTTCAGAAATTGTAAAACACACATAGAAATAGCAAATTAGTGTTGGGATTATGGTCCCCACTTGAGTTTACACTTTCCAGCTATGAAATGTTTATTGTATTGAATGATACAAATAAGAAAATTGACCTTATTATGCTTACTTGGCAAAGGTAGTACTGAGAATGCTATCATATTCCCAGAATTTTTTTTTTTAAATTTCAAAATCAAATTCTACATTTTAAAGTCTCTGGGATCATATCTCACATAACTCTCATTATGAAGGATCCTGCCAAAAGCCTTGTGGTCACAAAAACAAGATTCAAAAACTTTACCCAGCCTCCTGAACCCACTTCTTTGCTGATATGACAAACAGCTTTTAAAATTATGAATGGTATTATTCAATTATGTGAAGGCAGTTCCAGGGGCTCCAATACACTCACTTGACCTCCATTGGCATTGTATGACATATGTGCAGGCTATATACTCATACACATAAAGTAAAAATAAAATATTTTAAAATTCTATATTTTATAAAAATATCCTTTAGTTAATGAATTATTTGTTAAAATAAAGAGCTATACCTTGGGGCAACAAAAGAAAATAAAAAAACAGTATAATCTAGGAAACACAAAATTAGACAGAGAACAAAAACAGCAATCAAAATGACAGCAACCAATACATATCTTTCAATAGTAACCTTAAATATCAATGGACTGAACTCCTCAGTCAAAAGACACAGGCAATGTGAATGAATTAAGAAACAAAATCCATTTCTTTGGTGTCTGCAAGAAACCTATCTCACCTTCAAGGACAGCCAACACCTTAAGGTAAAAGGAGGGAAAGAATATTCCAAGCAAATGGCACTAAGAAACAAGCAGGGGATGCAATTCGAATATCTGACAATATAGACTTCAAATTAAAACTAATGAGAAGAGATAAGGAGGGTGACTTCATTCTGATCAAAGGAACAGTTAACCAAGAAGATATTACAATCCTTAACATATATGCACCAAACTCTGGTGCACTCAAGTTCATAAAAACAATACTACAGGACTTTAAGATACACATTAACCCCAAATTAGTAATACTAGGGGATGTCAATACCCCACTGTCTCCATTAGACAGATCAACTGTACAAAGAATAAAAAGAGAGACGTCTGAATTAAATGATATCATACATCAAATGGACCTAACAGACATCTTTCAATTATTCCACCCAAACACCAAAGAATACACTTTTTACTCAGCACCACATAGAACTTTTTCAAAAATTGACTGCATACTGGGCCAAAAACAAACCTCAACAAATACAAAAAAATGGAATAATTCCATGCCTTCTATCAGACTACAATGCAATAAATCTTAAAATTAACACTGGACAAATCCCTAGGCACTACACAAACTCATGGCAATTGAACAACATACTCCTAAACAGTGAGTGGATCAAAGGAGAAATTCAGAAAGAAATAAAAGAATTCAAAAAATTCAATGAAAAGGACAATTACAACACAACACAACCTCTGGGACACTTTAAAAGCAGTCCTAAGAGGGAAGTTTATAGTTCTAATTGCCTACATTAAAAAAATTAGAAAGAGCCCAAATAAATGACCTAACACTGCAACTCAAGACACTGGAAAGGCAAGAACAAATGAAACCCAAACCCAAAAGAAGAGAAGAAATAATAAATATCAGAGCAGAAATTAATGAAATAGAAACAAAGAAAACAATACAAAGAATCAATGAATCTAAGAGCTGGTTCTTTTAAAAGCTAAACAAGATAGACAGAACCTTAGCTCAGCTAACCAAAAGAAAGAAACAGCAAATCCAAACCAACAAAATCAGAGATGAAAAGGGAAACATCACAACAGACACCCTCCCAACTAAAAAAAGTCCAGGCACAGATGGATTTACAGCAGAATTCTACCAGACATTTA